GTGTTTCTGAATAATTTATTACAACCAGTAATTTCTGATTTTCTTAACACAGATTGGCAACAATTGTGTGTTTGTATCACTGAAAGAGTGAAATTAGTTGTTATCATGTGTATTTGTATTCATCTATTGTTATGTGTGTTTGTATTTGTATGTGTATTTGTCACTTTGCATGTATTTGTACTCCTTTGTTTCATCTGTATTTGTATTTTGTATTACTGAAAGGAAGATATACAATTGACACTTATCATTTAATTAAGGAGGGGGCGAAAGAGCGATTTATATATAGAGATAGATAGATAGAGAGAGGAGAGAGGTGATGGAGAGATGGCAGAAAAAGAGACGAGAGAAATGAGTGAATTATAAAGAGAAGAGAGGTGAGGAAGAGATGAAAAAAGGATAAGAGGAGACGGAGAGAGAGGACGAGAGGGATCGTTTGGTTTAGACCAAATTATCTTAGGATTAATTATTCTGCGATAACTTATCGCACCATATATATGAGATAAGTTATCCTATCGCTATGGTATAAATGATGGAATAAGTTGTTCCAAACATGACACCCAAATTTTGCCACCATGGCAATCAGTTATTAATCGTTATCGGTTCAATCGTTAACAGTTCACACTATTTTCATTTAGAATTACTAATCACTAATTAACCGTATACAATAGCTAGTAGTCATTGATGAACTTTTCCCTGCTAGTTTACCATATAAATACTTCATAAAATTTCATATTAACCAGAACAAAGATGTCAATATTGTCCAAACTAGCAAACTCAAAAGGATTCTTCATAACAATCAAGTCAATTTCGATATGAACTATAAAGAGAGACCATTATAACACTACTAACAAAAATCATTAATGATCATGAGACCATTACTAATTAAAGAAAATCATTGCAGATTGTAGTATTGCAAGCATATCTCACTAACTCACCTCACTGTAATTAGAATATAAAACAAAGACTTAAAAGTAAGGGAACCAACCATTTAAACTTCAATTTAGACACCTAGAGATTGATATTCAATATAACTTGTCGGTGGGGGAGCAATGAAAATGAATCAATGAGTGATGTCGCAACTTTAAAATATTATTGTGAAATTTGAATGTCAATTATAAAGTAATTGTAAAGAGTCTTGGATACTAAAGTGTAAACAAACCCTAAGGGGTCGTTTAGTTTGAATACAAGTTATGCTCAAATAAGTTATGTTGGGAATAGTTATAATGGAATTAGTTTTGATTGCTTGTTTAGTTTGTCACATTCAAACTTTTACTCATTGCATAATTTCTAAGAATAAGGTGTTTGTTTATGATAATACCCTCCACCTTATTTATTTATTTATTACATTTACTTTGCAAGCTTTAGTTAGTTATTCCTTTTTAAAAAAATAAAATTACCGTCTTATTTAGCTTAAATATTTTGTGTGTATTTTCATGATTGTACCATGTATTTTAAAATTAAACTTTCATCTTATTCAACTTAAAAATAAAATTTTCATTTAATTTAGCTTTAAAATAAAACTTCGATCATATTTAGTTTAAAATTAAACATTCATCTTATTTAGCTTAGAACTAAAACTTTCATTTTAAATATATTAAAGTAATAAAAATTATATCCCTGAAGTTATCTACGTTATAATTGATATACAAAAGGGAAAATTGTATATAATAGCAAACTATTAATTCAAATTAAATGCTATAAATATACTTTGATTTAATTGTACCCTATAGCAAACTATTTTCCCTTTCTTTCCCTGGTGAAATCTCACTCGCCACTCTCGCTTGGTGGCAGTCTCGCCCGTCTCTCTCGCTTTTATACAAACACAAATGTATAAAATGTTGTGTTTGTATAAAACAAGAGGAAATTGTATATATACATATATTTTTGTTTCGTTCTCTCCCTCTCCAGATCTGGCTTGCCACTCTCGTATATCTCACTCTCCACCCTCACCTCTCTCGCTTATACAAATAGAAACAAAATGTATAAATTGCGTTTCTGTTTGTATAAAAAGAGAGAAAATATATATATACATATACAAATTCATATATCTTCGTCCTATACACTTAGAATTGTATAATACAAATATTCCCCTATCCAGTTTTCTTTTGTCTTTCTCTCTCTCATTTTATATATACAAAAATAATACAATTGATCTTTTGTATACAATTGCTTTCTTTTGTATATGTATAAAGAATTATACAATTGTTTTCTTTGTTTATGTATAGCGAATTATACAACTGTTTTTTTGTATATGTATAGCGAAATATATATATTTATGTTTGTTATGAAACACAATTATGCAAACTAAAGCTATAAGAGTTTTTGTCCAAAAACATCCTTTAACTATACCCCAAACTCAAATTACATCCTTATACTTTCATTTCTAGTAGAAAACATCCTTTAACTATACCCTAAATTTAAACTATATCCTTAAAATATCATTTTTAGCAGAAAACATCCTTTAAGTATTTGTAAATAAACAACTTTCATCCTTTTGTTAGATATTGTCAAAAAACTAATGGATCTTATGAAAATATTTCCAGTTAACGTGACCACCAACAAAAGTTATTCTGCATAATTTTATTACTTGCTACAAGAAGTTCTTGTAAAATATAAAAAATCTTAGACATTGTTGCTTATGGAAACTAAAAATAACTTGGAAGGTGTGAGCGTACATAATTTGTCTTTTTCATAACGGAAAGAAGTTGGAGATTAATTATTTTTATCTTTTTCTTTACCAATTAAATCAATAGATTTTTAGGTCAATCTAATATTGAAGTGACCGAATATTGATTATGTCTCGTATTTGAGTTTCATTCTACTTTATTAGAAGCAGAAGTCTTTAACAAATGTCGTTTCTAACATATTCAATTGAGAAAAAACATATTTAAACTGATAATATTTTTAATAAAAATTACATGAAAAATGAATGAAAAAACGATCAAATTAAAAGTTTTGCATAATTCTTAACTCAATTACGAGAAAGTTCACGATAATATTGTTGGCATATCTAAGATTAATAATTAGGAAGGACGACTTAATTGTTGTGGATATATCGGGTAGTTTTAGGAGAAATTCAAGTAGAAGGATGAAATTGTTCACTTTAAAACACTTGAAGAATGTTGTATGGTAAGAATGATACTTTAAGGATGTAATTTAAGTTTGGGGTATAGTTAAAGGATGTTTTCTGCTAGAAATGATACTTTAAAGTTGTGGTCTAAGTTTCGGATATAGTAAAATGATGTTTTTGGCAAAAAAAATACAAGTATAATTTTTATATTTGCTATATGTGAAAGTTAATCATAAAATATAAGTTTTGAAGTGACTATTAAACTATTTAATTAAAAATATGCATTTAATTAGTAGGAGTGAACATTTTAAGAGAAATCAAAATCAAAATAAATATAAAAATTAGGCAAATAAATTCAACTTATAATATATTCATAAATAAGAATTGTATTTATAAAATATCATTTCTTAATGAAAAAATATATTATCATAAGAACAACTAATAATTAAGATTGTGAATGTTATTATAAATGTTGTAAAAAATTATGTTAATATACATGAAGTAAAGTGGTGTAAAAGAGAGTTTAAAGGGGTGCTATTTTTGTTATTTTACCTACTTTATTCCAAGATAAGTTATCTTGAGATTACTATTCCACCTTATGTAAGGATAACTTATCCCATGACTAATTGTTAATCTCAGGATAAGCTATCCTAGCTTTTGCAACCAAACAACGGATTAAAAACCACTTAGAAGTTATCCCAGAATTAAGTTCCTTTTTTCATAATATCAAACGACTCCTAAAGGCTAAAAGTACATGAAGCCTTAAGTAGTATAATGTAATTAAACTTCTTATCGGAGTATCGAGGCACTCGATTAAAATTATGGCCAAACAAAATCCAAATCAATAAGCTGACCTGAAGGATTAACCCATTAATTCAAACTATTAACCCAACAACTAAATTATCGATTCAAATTATTAATTTCGAATCAATTTGAACAGCCCTACACCAAACAACCTCTAAAACACCAAACTATAACTGCGAATAATAATTCTTTCAAAATATTTGCCTAATTTTTCTTTTAAAAAAAAATGAAAGAAGAAAAGAGTAACAAAATGGGAACTTCTTATCCAAAAGTTCAGGCTGAAGTCTAAAAAAAAAAGAAGAGCTTTTATCTTTGCAGAATTCAGAGTCCCTTCAACAATGACGATAGCTTTGTCGCCTGCAACTCCAGTACGTTTGCTATGCCAACAGCAACTCACCCGCAAGCCTGTTCTCTTTTGCTTTCAAGGTATCTCTCTTTCTTCTCTCTATTTGGAAGTCTTTTGAGCTTCTGAGTTTTGAAAGGTGTGCGTCTCTGTGGCTTTTCATCAAACATCTTGCAGATAAATTTCCTACTTCTGGTAATGTGGTATGTTGGTCGGCGTCTGCGAATTACTCGAGCCTATGGGTTGGAGCAAGGAGATTGCAGCCTCTTGTTAAACCGTCTTGGGGAAAGAGGCAAGCTACTTCTGTACTCTTCTGCTGTTTGCTCATTCTTTTTGTATGTCAGTACAAAATGTTAAGTACCCATGTAGGAATTAAACATCTGGATTGACTCGAATGGATTTTCAAGAGTATAGTCAACCCCAAATAGTTTGGTGTTTGGGGTTAGGAGAGGGGGAAATAGGGATGGTATTAATAGGTGAGGAATCGAATCACCAATAAAATGAAAGTTCAGGCAGCCAACAAACTGACCTACTAAGATTTTTCTCAAATAGTTTGGTATTGAGGTGTAGCAGTAGTAGATAGATGTCGTTTGTCTTGGTGGTGCTTGCATTGATTTTCATTGTTGATCTCCATATGCGTAACTTGGGTTGATTTCATTATTTATTTATGGTAACTTGGGTTGATTATTCAGAAGTGGAATTGTGAGGTGTGCAACAATTGAAGAAATAGAAGCTGAAAAATCTTCGATTGAGAAAGATGTGGTCAGTATGGTGATTTTTGTTTTCATTATCAAAAGCTATGTTAACTCTTTGTTTACAGACCTTGTATTTTACTGTAGAAAGAAAGGATGGAAAAGACAGTTGAAACTGTTAGGTCAAATTTCAACTCTATAAGGACAGGAAGAGCTAGCCCAGCAATGCTAGATAAAATTGAGGTAAGACATTCTGTAGGATCCCCTCCCCCATTTACACTTGTTGTTAACATGACTATTTTCTTTATAACCATCACAACTGATACAGTAGAAAGTACTGGGCAGCTTTCAAAGCCATTTAAATGGTACCAACAAATTTGTAATTTATAAGTAATTGAGAGTCCTGTTAGTCAGGCCGCATTGATATTTTTTCCTCTCCAATTCTCTTCAGGTCAATCAGAAGTAAAAGATCATTTTTTTTCTCTTGTCAATTGTACCACGTACCTGCTGCTCTTGCATTATCACTTCTGAATGATTTATGTGTTTTTGCCTGAAGGCTTTTCTGTCTTTTCAGTATTTTCACTTCAAGCCCCTAGCATTTCCTTTAATATTTCTCATGCACTATTCATACAAATTATCCGGGTGTGGAGATGTGGTGTCTGAGACATGTGATAAAACATAATTTCTTTGTTTCATTTTTATAATTCAGTATATCTAAGTCCAGCTTTTCTTTTTTTCATTTTGTATTGCTCATACAAGGTTGATTATTATGGCACTCCAGTCAGCTTGAAAAGCATAGCACAAATTAGCACTCCTGATGCAACTTCTATCTTGGTGCAGCCGTATGACAAATCCAGGTTAAACTTCTGAAACATTTGAATAAAAGAAAGAAAATCAGGTCGGACTGGACCATTATCTCACACTTTCTTGATATCATCAATACTACTTGTAAATTCTTAGATTCATTTGAGGTAGGGTTGCAAAAGAGTGAGTTCTGGAATTCAGATGCATCAGAACAATAGGACGTCTACTTCATCAGACTCATTGGCCATTATGTACTGCTTTTCTTGTAAAATTTTCATGATTACAAGTCATAGAATTTGTTGTCAGTTTTAGGCGTTAGGCTAATATAATCATCCTCGTGAGGAATTCGTTAGAACCATTTTGTAGCAACTTTGCATATGTTTGCACTTTGCACTGCACTAAGCATTAGTCTTTGTCTTAATTTTCAGTTTAAAGGCTATAGAGAAGGCTATTGTCAGCTCCGATGTTGGTATGACGCCAAATAATGATGGAGAAGTAATACGATTGGCTGTACCCCAGTTGACATCAGATAGGAGGAAGGTATTAAGTGTTCCAGTGCTTAGTCAAGTTTGTTTTTTCTAGATGCCAACTTTCAGCTTGAATGTTAATCTTTATTTCTTTTTTGATAAGCAAGGATGAATGTTTGTTCATCTCACTGTGGTCATTTAGCCACTCATGCTATAGGTTGGACTGATATGATCTTTGTTTTATTTACCTGGTTTCCGGATAGCCATGCTTTCTCATCATCTTTGTCCTGTATCTTGGAAAATATTTGGCTATTGTTCCTGAAAATTTGGATCACTAATTAATGTTCTCATTCTGTAGTCAAGAACTAGAAACTAGTTGGTCGTTTGTATTGACTTATTTTAGGTGTTTTAAAGCCAAAATAGCTTTTAAGCAATTTTGAAGTGTTTGGGTAAAGTTAACAAGTGTTTATAAGAATTTTAAAAGCCAAAAGCCATAAGCTAGGAATCCTAGCTTATGGCTTTTGGCTTATATGTCATAACCCAAAAGCCAATCCAAACAGGCCCTAGGTACTTGCTTTTCAGTTACATCTGTTTTGTGTTAATATCTTGTATCTTTGTCATTAATATTCAGTAAGTTTGTCTTCCTCTTTTAAGGAATTAGACCCAATAGGATGTCATAAACATTTCAGTTTGTGAGGTAGGTGATTTAACCTTTCCAAAGTTTTACTGTATTGTCCCTACATGGTACACTATGTAGGCTGTGAAGGACTTTAAGCTAAATACCCATGTCTTTTGCTCCTTACTTTTCTGCCCTAGATCACCACTTAATAGAGGAACACAAGATTTGAAATATAAGCAGTGTTTGCCTTATAGTAACTTCCCTGTCACTGTGCCTTCTAGCCTTTATACCAATGTACTCTTCTAAAGTAACCTTCTTCATACTAGAATATAGATATTTTATGGGGTTATATAACGTTATGATCTTCTTCTTGTGGTAGTATATTGATTTACTGATGTATTGGAAAAGAATTGTATAATACCATTGATAATCTGTTAAAAAAATCACAATGTTTCTGGTGTTTCTCTATGGGAGCTTATAGGGAAAACCTGGCTTTACCGCTCACTCCTAAAACAACAACTTATCCAGTGTAGTCCCATATGTGGGGTATGGGAGGGTACAGTGTATGCAAACCTTACTCCTACCTCGTGGAGGTAAAGAGGTTGTTTCAAAAGACTTTGGGGTCAAGTAACGCATATCAAAGTAGTTTGAAAAAGAAAAATACAGATGCAAAGAGGGATGCCTAAACTATTGAATGCCTAAACTAATTCATACTTCTTTTGTTGTTTTTATGTTTACTTCATGTGTTTTTATAGTAACCAATGATCTTAAGTTCATACATGGCTGTAATATTTAATTGCTTTGGCAACTAAAGCCCATTTAATTCGAAGGACAATATACTTTCATGTTTGAATTGATACTGGAATCAAGCTTTCATTGCTTACAGCCCTCATTTAAAGTTGATGCTGTCATTTCTCATGATAAATACGTTATTGGTTTACCAATATGAAGTTCTTCTGGTGTATCTGACATCATCTAGTCTTCATGACTTCTCTATATTGCTTGGATGAAATTAGGGGCACTGCCTACACTATGCAGTTCTCTTAAATGGCTAGACATATAGGTTTAATAACTGATTGAGTGACCTTGTTTTTATTAGAGGACTGACAAACTCGATTTCTTATCTCAAGTACACGTGATGTTTTCCTATTCAAGCTACGTGACAGGTGCACACTCCCAAAAATAACCTTCACTTTCGAATTGATGGGCATCCATTCTGTTATTTGGTTCAGAACATTTGTCCTTTTTATTATGAAGTATTTCAAAAGTTATGGCTTACAATTGCATGCCTTTATGAAAAATGTACTTGCAGCTTTTGATCTAGTTCTACTTAAGTCTACTTAATTGGTTTTCCCCAAAGTTTATGAGTTGGTAAATTTGCGAACAATTCAGTATATTCAATTTCCGACACTGAGTATATTTTAATTTTCACTTTTATTTCTCTTCTTTTTATCCAGGAATTATCTAAAATTGTTTCTAAACAAGCCGAGGAAGGAAAGGTAAGTTTTATCTGTTCTAAGAGCTGGTTCTAACTTCTTTTCTATGTTTATTTTCTGCTTTCCAAAAGAAAAAATAATCGTTATTCTTAATCTAGTGGGATCTATTATTAGAAATAGCTCCTGTTTGTCCTTTAGAGCACCTGAGGTTTCAGATTTACAAGTAGTCATGGCTGTGGTATATTTATACCTTCACTTGGTGCTTGTAGAGGTACCCTCTCCAGGTTCCTTATTGTATTAAGCGGTAAAACTTGATGTTATGAACAACAGCGTGGTTCAATCATCCAACAAAAAGATACTAAATGACACATTTAGAACTGGGATTGTGTGGAAGAGAATTTCTTATATTTTGTTATCAATTTTTCATTTCTTTTTGTTGCAAATATGCATCTTTTATGTCTAATTTGCTTTGTATAGAGTGTTCAAATTTTGACATGATTGACTGAATTATTATTGCAGTCAGCATATGATGTTGAGCTAACTTTTCATACTCTCTCTCCCTCCCTCCCAACTGTGACACAATTATTGTTGAAACAAGAAAAAGCTTTTCTGTCCACAAATTACCTAAACAATTCGACTAATGCGTCAATTTTAATAAATGTTTTTATTATACTGCTGTTATTCTAGCCCCTGCGCGTTGCTTTAATGATAAGAGCACAAAGTGTGATGTGTGGGTTAAGTTCAAACCCTGCCGTAAACAAAAGCTTGGTATTTAAGTGGAGAATGGATGAGGGGGCAGACCCAATAATCACTGAATCTAGTACAGTTCGTCATTTTCCCTCTGGGATTTCTAGGTAATGAAAAAAACCAGCGCTGCTATTCTGAACGGAAAAAACTTTTGTCTTCTTATATTCAAAGTCAGAAAGCTTGGCCTCTTACTTTGAATCTGTCTGTTGGTTTGGGATGGAGTAGTTGATTGTGCTTATATTGCCTATTGATCATGTCTGTTGGACTATTACTATCTCTTTCTCATAAAATATTTGCAGGTAGCTATAAGGAATATAAGAAGAGATGCCTTAAAAGCTTATGAAAAACTTGAGAAGGTTTGAGCTCTAGGCAATTTTTGGCCCATCTCTTTCAGATGCTAGATATTGAGGAAGCTTTACTTTTTTTCAGGAGAAAAAGCTTTCTGAAGACAATGTGAAGGACCTATCTAGTGATTTACAGGTAACTAACAAAGTTTGATGTTCATGGCACAAGAGTTCCAAAACAGAAAGTGATTACCCATATATGTTTAAACAATTGTCTCATAAATTGTACACTTTAAAAACTGTTAAATACTTCATTTGGATTCTACTGGAAGAAAAAATAATTTCAGATTTTCTCGTAATGCAACTTTTACTCTAATTTCTAAAACCTGCTGTAGGTAGCTCAAGTTACTAACAATCATCATTATAGTGCAATCTGAAGTCTTCTACTTGTGTCATTCTTCCTTTTTCTACACAGAAAGTGACAGATGAATACATGAAGAAGATTGATATTGTCTTCAAGCAGAAGGAGAAGGTATGTTAATCAAGTATATCATGTGCTTTGAGATAAAATGTCGTGTATGCAAAAATATATGGGTAGACTCAATCCCTGGGAATTGTTTTCTAATTAGAGATAAACAAGCAGAAACTGAGTATCAACAGTTAAGTTCTGATTTGGGAAATAAAATAATATTTCCTTACCCTTCCCTTCACCACATCATGTTTCTCTGCACCTTTGTGCTTTGTTGCTAGGCCTTTTTAGATACCTTATGTGTTTCCTAATGCGCATTGACTAGGCTCTGAATAACAGAAATGGGGGTCTAGCTGTGTCTGTGACAAGTCAGTCCGTTTGCAAGTGGAATCATTGATTTCATGCATGCACACCCCTAAGAGAGTTTTTACTGTCTCTTTTTTCCCATTCAAACTTTAGTCTTGTGTTGTCTAGCAATCTTCTACTTGCTAACCAAACTAATAGGAATGCTTCTACTGGAAATGGAGTATTATAATGCAGCTGCTTCTTCCTTCCATTCCCCTTGTTCCATTTTAATCTAATCCAATTGATAATATGATGGTAGTTCACTTTCTTTTCCAATTTTTCCCTCTTTCATTGCGAGGTTTGGTTGTTACCTCGTTTACCATGGTTCACCTTTTGACTCACTTCTGCTTCCTTTTATTTACACAATGAAGGTCGGTCAGATTTTATTGAAACATGTTTATGTTTGATCTCAGGAACTGCTGAAAGTTTGACAACAGTTGTGTTCAATGTGTATATGGAGTTTGTGCAGTAATGAAGCTTTTCTTGGAAGGTTTATGTGGTGCAATAGGCTTGTCACGTACCTTTGTAAAAAGAACTACCTTTAATTTTCGGTTGTAAAGATCAGTCAGGAACTGGAATGGTCCCTGTTAATTTTGTTAGGAATTTCATTTTTACTCCCAAAAGAAGTTAAATCTGCTTGTAGCGACATAATTTGCACTGCTTGAGGCTGCTGGATTTTGTAACTACAGGATTCGGAATGAAATCGTACTTGCTGATGGTAGAATATCACTTCCACTGCTCTTCTTTTGTATTTGGCTGTTCATGTTTTTGGAAGACGTTTTAGTTGTGTTTGTCTGCTTATATATCACTCATTCAATCAATACATTTTATTATATATAACTGGTTTGTGTAAATATAATATTACTCCATCACTTGCATCTAGTTTAATCCTATTCCAAATGTTTTAGTTTATTTATTTCAGTAAGCCATACAGTCCCCATCTTTGTGTACTAATCATATCATTTGAAGAAATTGCAGTGGTCTAGTGTTTTCTTAGAAGCCTAAATTCTGAGTTTAGCCAATGTTACTCTACATTCAACTAATTCCCACAGTTTCAGTACAAGAAACATTTGAAAATACTTGCCCAACTTGGAAATTTTAAACACAATTATATTTGTTATCCTAAGTTATAAATTAAAGGTAAATAAATATTATAATAGTTACAATTATCATATACTAAATATAGAAAAATTTACAAATACTATTATTTGATCTCTACATATAAGTTTCTACTAATCTTCTTTCTTTTCATAATTCTCGTTAAATCTAGCAAATAAATATTATTGGCAAATGTGGTGCTGTTTTTGAGATATAAACTCAAATCAAGGGGCAGAAAAATATATATGCAGGACTTCAGGGTCCCAATCCTCAATTATAGTTACAGACTGTTCGTTCGACTTTTCCCCTTTTTCTTTTTTTTTTCCGGAGCAAGAGAAACCCTAGGCCGATGGATATACTGAAACAGGAATTGGAGCAACGTCGGAAAAATCTGGCCCAAGACGTCGGCGGCCGGAAAGTATTCAAGCGGTCGGAGATCGAACAGAAGCGTCTCCAGAGGATTCATGAAGAGGAAAAACGCGAAGCTGAGGCCAAAGCCCTCCGTCAAAAGCAATTTGAACAGAACCAGAAGTCTACCGATGATTCCTCATCAAAATCAAACTCCACAACTGATACTCAATGCCTCAAGCAGGATGCATCATCTTTATCGGTATCCAAAGCACTTACCGACGAGCAAAAAATTGATGGATTAAACCTTCCTCGACAGGAAGTTGTTCGTCGACTTAGGTTTCTGAAACAACCGGTGACTTTATTTGGTGAAGATGACGAGGCCAGGCTTGATCGTCTGAAATTTGTATTAAAAGCTGGAACGTTTGAAGTTGACGATTCTGACATGACTGAGGGGCAAACCAATGACTTTTTGAGGGATATTGTGGAATTGAAGAAACGGCAGAAGTCGGGGATGATGAGTGAAAGGAAGAGGAAGGTAACGGAGGATTCTGGTGAGGATAAAGATGGAGGAGGTGGTGACGAAGATTTAAGTGGAGATGGGAACTCCTCAGGGGTTGATCATGATAAGGATTTGAAGAGGATGAAAACAAATTTTGTTGAGTTGTGTGATGAGGATAAGATTTTGGTGTTTTTTAAGAAGTTGTTGAATGAGTGGAATCAGGAGCTTGATGAGATGACTGATTCTGAAAAGCGGACGGCCAAGGGGAAATCGATGGTCGCTACTTTCAAGCAGTGTGCTAGGTACTTGCATCCGCTATTCAAGTTCTGCAGGAAAAAGGTAATTGTTGCCTTCCCTTTTAATTGCTGTGTTTAGATGCTATGTTCAGTTTCTGCAAAGTTGCAAGCTTTATATTAGTTTTCTTTCTACATTGACACAATTGCTTGAAATTAAAGTTAGTTAGAAATTTACTTAACTCATATGAATTGAGTCTCCGGTGGATCCAAATTATGATAGAATGAACTAGGCAATGCAATATGGAATATGGTGTCTTTGTTGGAGTTCTAGCTTTGATATAAAAGATCATATAGTCTCTTGTAGAAGTCCGTGTTTGCATCTAGTGATGGTTTATTTTGATTTTACACATTAACTCATCATAACTGTAGTCGATTTCTTATGATTTGCTTTGAAGTTTGATTGAAATTGATCTTTAAGATTTATGATCTCTTGTTCTTCCAATGCCTTGTTGGAGGTGGAATAGGACATTATAGGACAGTGATGAAGGATAGGTGCACATTCTTACTATAGATTCTATGTTAGATCTTACCCAAACAGAGTCTCATCCTGTGTTATCTCTAGTCTAATTGTCTCATTGTCATCCGTGATTGAGTAGATGATGGGATAAAATAATGAATCCTCTGGCCCTTCCTCTAGTGACTAAGGATGTTACATTCTGAGGTAGCTGTGGCATAATGACCTGGAAGAGTAATGATTCAATGAATTTGCAGACAAAGTGACAGGTCCCTATATGCACATGCATCAAAAGATTTGTACACTCTTCTTGTGTATAAATATAGAACGATGCGTGTATTCCCTAAGTTAATTAACTTACTGAAAAAATAACATTAACTTAATTAAACAGTGCTAATTCTCTAAAAAAAACATAACATTAACTTAATTAATTGATGTATATGTACTGTGCATGAGACCTCATCTCTGATCCTTCATCATGTGATAATGATAACCCTACGTATGATGATTAGTCAAAACTCAAGTGTAGGAGAGGATCTTATTCTATGTCATATGATTATACAATAGATAATGGATTATATCAGAAAAAATGGAAAGATTTGCTTCTTCTTTTTTTATAGACTCCTCCATTGTCAGTGTTGGTAAGGGCCTATAGGTTTTTGCCTACTTTGCTTATTAAAGATAAATGAGAATGGGTTAGTCAATAAAAAGGAAAAGCCCGAGCTTCTAAGCTTTTGCATTTTCTGCATTAAATTTTTCATGGAAGCAATTAGATATGCGTAAAGGAAATAGACTATTTGCTAGCTTCACAAAGTACAAATGAAAAGCCCACACACATTCACTCATCTTAAGCTCAGACCCCTTTCTGAGAAGGGAAGGAAGACTAGGCGATGGGCAAAAGGTAAGAGTACATTGAACAGCCACTTTTTGGAAGGAGTGAACACTTGGATTAGGAAGAGCTATCATTCATTGATAATTGAGATAAATGAGCACTACGTTGTTGATGACACAATGCTTCTTGATGCTTGCATTTGGAGAGAGTGGTGGGACATAACATACTCTTCTCAATGCTTGCCTAAAGTTTTAGAGTTAAGCCAAGGTTATTTTCTATTTTGATCAAATGTTGGATTTGGTTCCCAGGTTAAACAGAGCGACTGTTCTAGAAAATTCATATAGGCAATCCCAACTTGCTCAGGATTCAGGTGTAATAGTAGTAGTGAAAGGATTTAGTTGTTACTATAGTGAATGCTAAACCAACACCTCCCATACCATCCCTTTACTCAATAAAAAAATCCACAAGTCATTCACAAGTTTTTGTAAATCCATGTATATCTCAATGTAATTATTTGTCCATCAGCCCAAGTTTATGAGCAGAAAGATGGTATTTACCGAATTAATTTCTAATGGTAGGTTCTTGAGCTAACTCTGAACACAGGGGGTATATAAGATATGCACATGGAAATCTAATATTTATGTAGCAGTTCTGATGGTTTATCTACTAAAATCACCCAGTCCATAGAAGTTTGTATCTGAGCCAAATGCTAGTAAAGTGGAATTTCTTGTAGCTTATTCTGATGATGAGATCTTTACTTTCCCTTGTCGTATTTTTTGGAAAAACATTTATCCAATATGTTTCTTTTATCTTCCCTTTGAAGATTCTTATTGAGATGACTTCTTCTGCATGAAAAGCTTATTTTGTCATGGTTTACTTCTTGTGTATCCAGTTACTTCCTGATGACATTAGGCAAGCACTACTTGTGGTTGTTGAATGCTGTATGAAGAGGGACTATCTAGCTGCAATGGATCAGTATATTAAGATGGCAATCGGTAATGCACCTTGGCCTATTGGTGTTACTATGGTTGGTATTCATGAACGGTCAGCTCGTGAGAAGATTTACACAAACAGTGTTGCTCATATCATGAATGATGAGACAACTAGGAAGTATCTGCAATCAGTTAAAAGACTGATGACATTCTGCCAACGACGTTATCCAGCAATGCCATCGAAGGCTGTGGAGTTCAATAGTCTTGCAAATGGCAGTGACTTGCAGTCTCTACTTGCAGAAGAGGGTACTTCTGGGGGATCTCAAACCTCAGAGGAAAGGCTTAGAATAATGCCTGCATAAAGGGATAATCCTTCACAGCATATATTAATTTGCCATTAGTACTCTCTTTATTCTGTATATGTTGATTTTGTCCATGATGTGGCCCGAGTCAAGGCCTGCCCCTGCCCTGCAAAGCCTTGCACGCACGACGGGGAAAAGAATTTGGATGACCTGGCTTGTATCTTGTGGAATTTGATCTTATGTAGAGACAACTCTCTTTTAGTTCTGGGATGAGTTATTATGATACGTGTTAAGTGCTTGCTTTTTCTTAGCGTTACCTGTGTTTCAGAAAACCAATCTCTGCAAGGCACTGCTAAGATTTGCTTTCACTTCCTCAGTTAATATTTGGCATGCTCATGTACCTTTCATTTCATCAATGGATGTAAACTTTTACAACTCTTCAGCTTTGTATGTGTTCATGCCAAGCTGATCTCAGGGAATGAGTGCATCTTCGAATAAAAATTACTCAATGGCGGCGACCAATATAAGAGCAAACCACTCAAAAGTATACAAAAAAATGGTCCTTTGGGTTCTGGACTCTCATTGAGAGATTCTGCATAGAATTTTTTAAGAATAACTATAACCTATTAACTGATACTTTTTATTTTTTTTAAAAATACTTTCAAGAATACAATTTAAATCATATTTTTCATTATTGTTCTTTATCAAATTATAAATGAAATTTTATTAGTGCCTTAGCCAATATCAAACTAGGGCAACACGAAAAACATTCAATTATTTTGAGATTCAGTTTTATTAGATTAAAAGTTATTAATTTTCCTTCTTTTTTTTTAACTTGGGACTTTGAATTTAACTTAAAAACTACATTATCTTTTTTCTATATAATTATGAAAAAGAATCCTAAAACTAAATAAACTCAACTGAACAAACTAAATAAATAAATGAAAAATTATGCGAATAAACAAACATATACTAGTTAATTAGGTAAGATAGCTACAATTTGAATTAATTACAGCTCACGACTTAATTATAGTTATAATTACGTCGCTTATACATACATGAATACATTTTATACATTTACAAATACGATAACCTCTCACCACTCTCGGCCCAATCTCGCTCGCCTCGCTTCTCCCTCTCTTATCTGATAGATATAAATATACATTTTTCGCCGCTCTCCACTCTCCGCTTCTCTCCGTCTTCTCTCAATCTCGCTCGCCTCTCTTCGTTCTCTCCCAATTTTGCTCGCCTTCCCCCCCTCCCCCCTCCTCTTGCTCGCAAATATACAAATACATATATATGCTTATTACGTATATACAATCATTTTACAGATATACATATACAATTAACTTCTCTCCTCTCTCGACCCTGTCTGCTCGCCTCTGTCCTCCCTCTCCATCTAACATGTAGCTACGAACCGTAATTAACAAACTATAGCTATGAAACATAATTAAGCTATTTTTGAGTGATTATATGAAATAAATAAATCCTTAATACTATATTACATGCTCGTAAATCCTATTTAAAAATTAACAATTGACAATGCCCCCTTTTAATAATTTCTCCTATTTTCACTTTCACTTGAAAATTTTTAATCAAAAATTGGACGGAAGCGAGCATATTGTTGAGCGAATAAAAGAATCCAAAAAAACCCAAAGATTTAACTCTTTCCTGTAAATCGTTTAGACTTCAAAATTCTATAGTATCAAAGTTAAAATCCATCGAACGATTTTCGTCTTTTTATATATATATTTAGTAAATTTGTTTTTCTTATACGTGTAATTTTATTGATTAACGTGGAGAAACTATACACGTATACTAAATTAGTATATAGTATATGGATTTTCCTACTCGTTAGTCGTAACAAAAACTGATAACAAATCTGTGCAAAAACAGAGTTGAGGCCGAGGCGTTGCGTAGTGGTGACGCCGTGGCCGGAGTCCAAATTCCGATGGCGAACAACAACAACAATCAACCGACGACTCCACCCTACCTTCCCTACCGCCAGAGAAAAGTTCTGACCGGACACACACGCGCCGTCTCTTGCGTGAAGTTCGCCAATAACGGACAACTCTTCGCTTCCGCCTCCTTGGACAAAACCCTAATCGTCTGGTCTACCCAAACCCTAACTCAGCTTTCACGTCTCGTCGGCCATTCAGAAGGTGTCTCCGACCTATCATGGTCGTCTGATTCAAGTTACATATGCTCCGCCTCTGACGATCGCACGCTTCGTATTTGGGATGCACGCACAGCTGAGTCAGTCAAAACTCTCCGGGGACATACTGGGTTTGTGTTCTGCGTTAATTTCAATCCTCAGTCCAATCTCATAGTTTCAGGTTCGTTTGATGAGACTTTTCGGGTCTGGGATGTGAAAACGGGCAAGCCAATCCACGCGATTAAGGCACATTCGATGCCAGTTACTTCGGTTCATTTCAACAAAGATGGATCTTTGATTGTTTCGGGTAGTCATGATGGGTCTTGTAAGATATGGGATATGGCTTCCGGAGCTTGCCTCAAGACTCTTATTGATGATAAGGTTCCTGCAGTTTCCTTTGCCAAGTTTTCACCTAATGGCAAGTTTATTCTTGTTGCCACCCTAGATAATACTCTTGTAAGTATTCAGAAATATTTACTATTTCTAATGTGTATTTTGATATGTAGGCCTCAAAGGAAATGTTTTTTGTGATAAAAATCGAACAGCAGCTCAATGTGGACTGGGGCTTAGTTGCTTTTGTTGCACTTACATTATAAGCGTAAAATTCAGAGAACTCATAGGTTTAGATGATCTCATGCCCAACAGGAAAACACAAAGTAATTACAAGTATTGTATTAGAATGGATACGAATGAAGTAATGTTTTGATGTAGTGTCTGTTCTGGTTTTTAGTATGTTTTGCCATGCTTTCTTTAGCATTTTGTCTTGGCTTCTTCACTCTTGTTGTTTTCTTTGCTTTTACTTGAATCAAGGGTCTATTAGAAACAACGTGTCTATCTCCCAAGTTAAGGGTTAGGTCTGCATATGCATTACCCGTGATTACACTGGGTATGTTGCTTTTGTTTAGCAAGTCTAGTTTGGGATTGATGGCATTGTTACTTGGTTTAGTAGTATTGAACAACTCAAAGAATTCAGTATGTCATGATACATTTCCTTTTAAGCATGACAAACGTGACTTGATTTAATTATATCACTTCTCCTGCACGACTGACTTGTAACTTGGGTTTTTTGTGATTTTTCTTGAGTACAGAAGCTATGGAATTATTCTACTGGAAAATTCATAAAAAGCTACGCAGGCCATGTGAACAGAGTGTACTGCATAACTTCCACGTTTTCAGTCACAAATGGGAAGTATATAGTGAGTGGCTCAGAAGATCAATGTGTCTACGTATGGGATTTGCAAGGGAAAAACTTGCTGCAGAAATTTGAAGGGCATACTGATACCGTCATTTCAGTGTGTTGCCACCCCATAGAAAACATGATTCTCTCAGCTGGACTAGATAACGACAGGACAGTGAGGATCTGGGTCCAAGACTAAAGAATATCCTCAAATGTGGTAGGTTCATTCTATCCTACAAATACACAATCTTTGTGTTCTTAAGATTGATATTAACTTTGGAGATTGGAACATCAAAATTTTATTAACATGTGAGTTTTTAGTAACAAGAAGTGCTTAAATCACATGTCATTTATATACTTTTCACTTGTTAACTTTGGCTTTTCCCAATATTTAGGCAGCAAAGTGGTCCTTTATCTGGTAGATTGAGTTGAATGTAATGGAAAGAGTCATCCTTTCAGTTGCACCCTTATTCTTCTTTCTATGTAAGCATAATAATTTTCACACAAAAGATGGGGAGTATTTATACGTCAAAGTCTATAGTATTTTTCTAACTGTCTCACATGGTTTACATAATTTATAGGTTTTTGCCCAAGGATGTTCGCTTGCATTAAGTTACATTGGGTAATTTGGCGCGTAAAATATGGCAATGAGTCCTGTGTGTTTACGAATAGTGCAGTTATCTGGAAATGGATGCCAGGAGATATTGCGTTATCAAGTTTCAAAAAACTGGCTACTGTATTTTATTTTTTTATATGTGAGAAACTAGATGGTGCCATTCCTCCAGAATACTGAGGGTAAGCATTTATTAATGTAAGATAAGTTAAAATATATGAATAGAATGTGTTGTTTTCATTCATATGAAGAGTTCTCTGGGGGTTTGGCATTTACAGCAAGCGCAGAAAGTTGAGCTACATTGATCACTCTATTGGGTCCTTAGACTCGCAGTTTTAAAATGCAAACATTGTGATATGAATCTACGTCACCTCGGGGTATGCACGCAGTGTTGTTCCTGCTCCTTCTGTTACTGCCTTTTCCTATCTCCATATGTATCTTCTAGACCGTTTGTCACCCTCTTTCTTCTCTCCTCAATCATATCTGAATATGCCTGTGGAGTGTGAACAATCAATTCGGTGCTAGTGCTTCCAACTTTATCTGAAAAATGCTATCGAGAATAAAAAATGTAGAGGCTAAAGTTTACGGGTCACTTAACAACTAGCATCATATCTTTAGAAGATCAAAGTCTGCTGCACTTTGGTTAGGGCATAGATCGAAAGTACTCGACTACAATTAAAAACTGCATACAATGACACCTCTACTGTATCTACTAAAGATTGGTCCATAGCAACATCGATCCACTGCAGTTTGTTCGATGAAAATCTTGTTCGTAATCACATGCTAAACACGGCTGAACTATAAACATTTACATCAAACTCATCAAAGCAACATGGATATAAGACAAACAACCATCCTCACCCTCCACCTAACAGAGTATTGTTGCCCAAGAGGCGTAACATTACTGGTGTATAGAATATACCGCTTATCACACTCTTTCTTCTCTCTGCAATCATGTCTGAATATGCCTGCAGAGCAGTAACAATCAACCCAGTGCAACTGCTTTCATTTTTACATGATAAAGGAGCGTTACCAGTAAAGTTTTTCAAGGGGAAAAAAATCTCCTGGAGGTTAAAAACTATTGGTCATTTAAGTAGAAACATCTCCTTAGAAGCTCAAAGTAACTAGTTAATCTGTACTGCTGCAGGCTGGCTTCATAGACATCTTGGTTAGGGCTATAACAAAGGCGTCTATTGCAATTGAAAACCAAATGACATCTCTGCTTTCTCCACTTAAGCAGATAAGTGATCTTACAAAGCCAAAATTCAAAAGTAACCACTTAGAAGTATCACGGATAGTGTAAGATTGATCCACTGCAACTTTGTTCAAAGAAACTTAATTTGTCATCACATGCTGTAACTGAATTATAAACATATAGATCAAAACAACATTGGATATAAGATATGCATGCATTGCTGCAAACAACAATCCCCACGCCACTCTTAACAGTATATTGTTGCCCAAGCACATCTCAAAATTTATTGACCCTCACCCCTAGGAAAAGATATTGAGAAAGACATCAGAGGATGCTGAAGTATGCTATTGAACAAACATGAAAATCCATTTACTTGCTACCTCATAGTGGGTGCATTTAGATATTCAGATCTCTTTTCCTTTTTGGTAGCAATTCAAGATTAGCTGCTGCACAGCCTTTGCAGCATATATCCAATACCAATTATATCACGAACAAATGTAAAATCCTTCAAATAGGTGTATAGAAATGTGGAAGGATCAGATATTGAATCATATTTTAGTCCACAGGAAGAGAAGCAATATCTTTTTTTCTTTAGAACAATGGTTCCAGGTCAGCTTGTACATCTTGGCTAGTGATGCATTCTACCTTACCAGGTAACTGTCCACTGAATCTTAGTCAGACCAAAAGAAGTTGGACTCATTTTATTATTAATGGATTAAGTTACTACTGTAATTGCGCGACAGAGATGACAATTAACACTAACTCTCGTTCACAGTATCTCCAAGCATAGGTCAATGATTAAAGAAAAGACATCAATTAGTTTGGCGCATTTAGCAAATTTAGTTTGTGTACCATGTAGTCATACCATGATTAGAGAAAATGCATCAAATCTGGTATTAGATAATACAAACTAAAAATGGTTTACCTTAGGGTAAGAATAAAGAAATATGTACCACCATGCTGCAATTGTAGTCGTCACTACTGCAGTGGCTACAGCCGAGTGCAGAATCAGCCAGCTCAAGCTAATTATCACTGTTCCAGTAAGAGTTATTGTCCAAGGTTGACACCTACTATGAAAAGAGTACTTAGAATTTGCAGAAAGCATTGTAGCTGCAGAGAACTATGATCATTCACCAAATTCATTGGGATTAAACATGTTAAAGTGCAGATGAAGGGGAGAAAATATAATAACTAGTCCTAGTGGAAGTAACAAACAACAAAAGGTTCCATGTTCAATTGCATTGTTGTCAAAGGCTCGATAAAACCCAGAGACTAGATGTCAAAAGGTTGAGTGCCATGTCTTGCTTAGGCAGCGTTCAGTTCAGGTGCTTAGGCCCTAAGATGTGTACATCTGATACACACATAATGTATATATGTTCAGTAAATATTATGTAAAAAATTTATTTTTTCTTTATTTACGCCTTCCTTTATCAAAGCACATACTTTCTTAGCCTTTTTGTGCTTGGAGTCGCAACCTATCTCAGTGCTTCTTAGCAGTAGCTTTTCACCTTTGATAATCCTGTTGTAGTAGCTGATGTAAACGATGGCAGTTCATCTTTATTTACTCACTGCCTTCCATTTGACCTATAGCCACGAGGAGGAGGGAATGCAGTTGATGGATGTGCATTCCCACTGAGTAAAAATTATAATCTGCCTCCTTCAATGGCAAAACTTGTAGAATGTTATCATCACAGCTCACTCACGTTCAGCTGAGGATCAATTTGGCTGGCAAAACCAGTTTATATAAATGGGGTTCCCAGCAGAGACTTAAGTTGGTACAAATGATTCTCAGTTAATTCACCACCAACAACAATAGAGGAAGCAGCAACAGTAACAACGACATACCCAGTGTAGTTCCACAAAGTAGGGACTGGGGAGGCTAGAGTTTATGCAGATCTTACCCCTAACTCAGAGGTAGAGAGATTGTTTCTGACCCTCGACTCAAGAGAACAGTACAGAGAGAGAATAAACAGAAGTGAAAGCATCACAAAGTATATCGAACAGTAACTACAACAAAATAATACGATAATGGAAGTACAAGAAACATCATGTTGTATATTGATTTGGATCATGGGCCACCCATGTAAATTGATCCGATCCGACCCATTTGAAAGAGAGAATACCAAATGAGGTTATGCAGGAAGTTATTCAATTTCCTAAATATAATTACAACACAGAGATTAAAAAGTGGAAACTTAAAAGTTTTTCGATTGATAGTTTTTCTAAGGAGGTGTTTGGATTGGCTATCTTTTAAGTGGCTTATAAGTTAAAAGTCAAAAGTTGGGAACACCCAACTTTTGACTTTTGGCTTGTCGTTGTACTTTTCAACTTTAAAAAGTGCTTAAAAACACTTTTTTGTGTTCTTCAAACACTTCCCAAACCAAAAATAACTTGAAAGCCAAAAGCCACTAAAAAATAAGTTGACCCAACACCCTAAGTCCTCTCTTATATATATCTTACTCAATCAAAAGAGCTAAAGAGCGTGAAGAAGAAAAAATCCTCCTTTACTAAACAGAAACACACAATAACATTAGAACATCTAGTTTGTAGAATCAAAACTTTGTTTGCAAGAGATTCAAAGAAAAATCGGGGTGATTCTTTTGGTAGCAAGATCAACTATTTCCACTCTGATTTTAAGGTACACAATTCATTGTTCTTGCTCCTTATTTATCTGATAATGGTATCATGGACCTTGTCATGTCCAATAGTGTCTTGTGCCTTCTTTCAACAACATCGATTTGTTGAGGTGTATGAGAAATAGTTAATTGCCTAATAATAATGCCCTTTTCAGTACACAATTCTTCAAACTATTTTGACAAATATTCAAGAACTTTATCAGTTCTTAAATACTTCTATCTAATTGATTCTTAACTTCATTTGTGTATCTTTTGAAGCATTCTCACTCATTTTAAATCCATTTTACATGAACAATATATCATGGAAAGCCCTAAACAAGGAGAATATGAAAAAATAAGTTTCATGCCAAAAATTCCAAACGAGTTATTTCCAGAAATCAGATTACTGTAGCCTCTGCATTGATTGCTCACATTTTGGTTGCCTCTATGAATTTTTGAAGTTGACTAAAATTTTTTTGGTCAATTTTTTTGAAAAAGTGCAACTGTAATTTAAGTATTTAACATATGGGAATTATTCGTATGAAATTTTAGCATGAAACTTATATTTTCATAATCTTTTAGCTTAGGTCTTTGAATTAATATATTATTCATGTAAAACGGACATTGCTTTTAATTGGTGTATGACGTAGATTTTATTTTTTTTTGAATCAGGTAGCATACTCTAATGACGTAGACACTGCTTTCAATTGCTTTTCTCAAGTAAAATTGGTTGCACATTCATTGTTAGACATTCAGAAATGTACATTTTGACAGCAATTTTTTTTGTATAATTTTTTTTTCTCCAAAGGTCCATCTAACTGATGAGGCGAGACTCCTAACCTGTATATTTACCAAAATTTTAATTACACGGAGGAGGACATAAACCTTAGCCTCAATAACATTGTGAAGATTGATAAAATTAACCTTTAAAGACATTTGAGTACACCAAAAAAGAGTATTCTGGTGAGTATCATAGCTACCGATGGTATGAGACTCGTCTAAGTAAGCTGGATACTATATACCAATTGCTAATCACCAAAAAAGGCTCACAGTAGTAACTGGACATCAATGATGAATTTGTTCTTCTTCTTCTTAACTCTGAAATTTGGGAGTCCATCAGATTAAATATCCAACGAAGCTCAAACCTTTAAAGATAGGAAAGTAGTTTCATTGAAGATATTATTGGATAAAACTCAATGTGGATGGTTGTAGTACAACTCAGTGAACAAAACTTTGATTCCGCAAACTAGTTGTCAATGTGTTTGTGTTTAGCAAAACAGGAATATTTTCTTATTCACCTCTTTTGCTCTTCTGTTGGAGAAGATATATTATATTAAAGAGGTCTTAGAAAAACTACCAATAGAAAAACTCATCACATACTCACTTTTTTATCTTTGTGCGGTAGTTTTCATTAGGAAATTGAGTAACTTTCTCCTAACCTCCTTTGGTATTATCTCTTTCAAACGGCCCGCATCAGATCAGTTCACATGACTGATACATGACCCAAATCAATATCCAACATTTCACATGATGGACTAGACCCAAGCTGGCACCACTAGTAGTAACACACACAATTCATATCACAAATAATTTGCGCGACTGTCAACGAGTACAATTCTTGCTACTATGCAACACATCATATAGTAATAAAAATTGAAGAACAAAGCAACTACAGAAGCAATAATATGGTTACTAGCATGGATGAATAGCAACAAAATGCAGTAGTACAAGTAGTACAAACATACCAAACAATGAGTGAATCGACAACCAAAGGCAAATGCAAAACATAAAAAAGTGGAAAAAAGGAATTACCAGGAGGGCTTGGTGTCCCATACAGAATCATACTCTAGGGAAAGATAATTGAGATAGCTATCCATATCTTCAACCACTCCGTTTTCGTTGAAGAAGGCCGACTCTTTTGGGTCATTGGAATTGATTCCACGAACTGTACTAGTCCTTGTACGTTTGCAAAATTTGTGAGAAGAAAGGGAAGTAATTGACGGAAGTTTCGACGAGAACTCAATATCGGAAAGTTGAGAACGAGCGACGCGGCGGTGGACCGGCGGTGTAAGGCAAAGCAACGGCAGTAGAACGGAGGAGGAGAGACTCTGAGTTGCTATCATCTTTTTGTTTCCTCAGCTTTATCCAACTCCCGACAAAATCGTGTATTTTACTATTTGGGTTTGCCCCCAAATTTTACATGTTATGGCGCTTCCATTACTTTTTTGTCATTATAAAATCTTTCAAATACTTATTTGCATCCTATATTTTATAAAATAAATTAATCTATCAAACTAACTACTTGAAGTGATGAAATAAGGTAAAGATGTATATTCATTAATTTTTAAATTTTATTTACCAATACATATCTGAATATGAGGATTAATTACTATTAAGCTTTTTGGAGAAAAAAAAACACGGATCTCACTATATCATTTTGATACAATTTCTATTGTAGTCAGGGGCGAGTTTATGTTAAACGAAGGGGTTGTTTTCGTCGAAAAATTAAATTTTATATATATAATTATTTTTTAATTTATGTGTATATATACAATATTGAACCCCCTGAACATACAACAAAGGTGTAGCTTAGTGGCGTTGGGGGTTCAGGAATTCGCTCTGATGCCCGCGAAATCGCGTATTTGAATCCGGATTAAAATGTTGATTGAGAATTTAGGATTTATTAGTTTAATTTCTAATTATAAAGCCAAATATTAAAAAATCTTTTCTTCTTGATTCGATCATTTTAACCGATTCGTTTATATATTATTTGACCCGTTTAATTTTAAATATTATTTACGTAATTAATTTTTTTGAATCCCTCAATGAAAAATCTTCCCTTCACCAATGATTGTAGTTTGAACATTTTATAGTAGTGAAAAGCATAATGCAAGAACTTAGTGGCCATTTGACCTATAGTATTTTACTTTTTTTGGAGTTTAATTTTGAAAGAGAAAAGACATAAATACACTATCGAAGTTGTTCCATATTTTCATAAAGACACATAAACTTTAAAAGTGTCCTATAACCCCACTAAACAACTATATATCATTGTAAATGGGTCAATTTTACTCATTCCCTCGTCTACGTCGTGCGCGTGTTGTTCACTCCCTAGGATAGAATATACCCGACCCGACCCTTATCTTTTGAAGAAAATTCGTCTATGTTCTCTTCTCATCACCCATCACCAGATTAGGTAAAGAAATGGGAACATCCATGGAAAAGCCAAAGCTCTTATAAACACATAGGCACTTAATAAGACAAGAAGCCTCTCTAATAAGTGAATGCAACTGAAACGGCATCATTTCTACTGGGAATCTGGGAATCTCCCTTCGTCTTTGTCAGGTATATCTATTGCCTCATCTATTAAATCGAACATAATGGTGCTCGTTCTCACCATTGTGTCGATAATAATCTTCTGGTTAGAGCTTGTGTTCTCATCTTGAAGTATGGAAAGCAAACTCAAAATCGAATTCATTGGTCGTCTCATTCCATTGTTCATTACCTTTCGAAATGAATTTCTTCCCTGGCTTGCCTTCGCGGCATTCTCCTAGCCTGTTGCAGCAAACCTTTCCTCTCTTCTAGTTTCTCCCTCATTAATTGTACCATCGTATAGGAATAGCGCCACAGCCAGCAACTACTTCCACTATCTCCGTCTCATTATGGCTCCAATCATCATTTGCACTCGGAATAACAAAAATTAAAATAGCATAAAGAGTGTCAAACAACTCAGGCATCACATCTTTGAAATCCGAAGCAACATAGTTCTTTCTATGAAAATCAAAATATTAGGGCTATCACATCTATTTTGGGTTTAAATTGGGGAAGATGACATAAATTGATTAAATAATTAATAATAAAGAAAGGAAATGACATGTGGCACTTTTAAGCTGGTTAATGAAAGTGAAAATTGGTCCATGACGCGCCTAACGTGCGTGTAAACAACCTAGACGAGGGAATGGGTAAAAATGACTCATTTACAACGATATATAGTTGTTTAGTGGGGTGATAGGATACTTTGAAAGTTTAGGTGTCTTTATGCAAATATGGGACAACTTTGATGGTGTGTTTATGTCTTTTCTCAATTTTGAAAATCATCATTGATAAAAAAAAAATAATAAATTGAAGTTTGAATTCTAGAGACTAGAATTTGGAAAAAAGCATGAAAAAATTGTTCACTTTTTTCACTCTAAAAACACTCACAAAAATTGAAAAATAATCCTGAAAACATAACTTCCAATTTTGAAATACAATTTATCAATTTAGAAATAATAATCATTATTTGGACCTATTTTATTTGGACAAATTACTTCAAGTACATAATAGTAATTAAGTATACTATGTGATTTTGCAAAAAATTTAACCTTAAAATATGAGAGTGAAAAATTATTAGGACTTTAAAGTAGGGGCATTTATACCAATAACCTTATTTTTTAACCCACTTTAGAACTAACCACTAAGGCAACTCGTGTCTATAAGGCCATATAAACACGAGTATGCTCAATTCTTGAACCATCATTTTTGGATAGGTTATGACATGTTAAGTTGGAAAATTTACAATTTTAAAGCTCATTTTTTTAAAATTTCAAGCTTTAACGAAAGCTTAAGCTAATTATTTGGCTTGGTCACTCCCTAACGATAAAAGCAGCATGTTTCAATGAAAAGAAGTAGAAATCAGGATGAACAATCAACAAGAAGACAAATTGGGCATTATATTTCTGTAAAAATCTATATAATAATGTTTCCTCCTCTGTAGAAGTAACAAGAAAATGCTTCAAACAATAGTAAGGATGATCATTTCTCCTTTACATTGATGCCCCCATCATTTCTTTCTTCATTGACCTAAGGATCCATCTGAAATTCTTATGGATACATCAGCAGAAGGATCATGATGATGAATACGCGGAAATGGCGTTGAGAGTCCATGAACCACAATCCTTTTATTGTAAACAAGATCATAATCCTTGACTTTAACATAATTGATCCTCATTGGAACCAAAGGACCATTGCCACCTGCAGTAGTCACCACCAATTTCCCCTCTTTGTCCATTGTCATCAGCTCTGTATTAGGAGCCAATTCAGCCAACTCCGACGACATTAACAGCCTATTAGGCACAATATGAAACCCAAGATTTGCAACATACTCATGCCCAATTCCAATACCAAATATAGACAAATCATCCATTGCAAAAACAGTCATTGATTTCAAATCTGATAGTTCAGGGTACTTAACCCTCATAGCAAGTGCCACCAAAGTATAACCACCAGTACGCAAACGACCCATTACATCTTTTAACATCACGCGCGTGGCAGCAAATGCTGCCGTAGGCGGCGGAAGAAACGGGAAGGATAAAGTAGTCATACTCTCAATTCTGCAAGAAATTGAAGAAAGATGAGAGACATACCCCTGTATACCGTGAACAATGAAGAACCCATTGTTGTACATATCCGGTTTAGTAATTTCCACCCCATTAACGAACACTTCCTTTGAAGAATTTCCGAATCGAGATGGGGTAATCGTGAGACATCGAGTTGGGGCTAAAGTTTCAATCTTTGTACCAAATGCTAAACTCCGGAGGAAGTGAAACGAGTAGAGACCAAGAACAGAGTGTTCTTGAAGAAGAAGGGGAATGGAGCAAGAAGGGCAAGTGAGGAGGGAGGAATCAGTAGGGGCAAAAATGGTAAGTGGGAAATTAACGGTGGAGATGGAGGAATTGAGAGAAGCATCAGCAAGGTCATTGAATCCAAGATTTGAGAGAATGACGGCCAACGGAAGTGGTGATAGAGATGGAGTTTGCAGGAGGTGACGACGAGATTCTGATGTTGAACAGAACATTGGGTTTGCAGTACAGATGAAAATGGAAATGAGGAAGATGAAAAGATTAACAGTGGACGCCATTGATGAATTCTTGGAAGCTCAATGGGTTCTTCTTATAGAGAGTATTTTTGGGGTTTGTGAAGGGAAAAACGGTTGACGGAGCGGTTATATATTACAGTATTTAGCGGCAGTTCAATTTGCTTAATGAGAGATTTTCAGTTCAGAGCTTGTAATCTGTTCATTTTTCTCCCTCACTAAGAAGAAGACGACATTTTCTATTTGCAGAATATGTTTCCAACTTTCTATTTGTTTTTTTTAAAATAAAAAATCATTTGAGAAAAAAATAATAATTCAAGTTTTATAAATTATTCGTGTAAAAAAAATGAGTTGTCCTGCAAAGAGGATTTTAGAGATATTTTCAAAATATTAGATTTGAAATTTTGAAACAGGAAAAGGGAGGGGTTCACGGTTTAAATAAAAACTATTTAGATTGAAAAATGTAACAAAATTGATTAAATAAATTGATTTTTAGTTTATTTTATAATTTTCAAAATTTGATTTAGTTTTGATTTTTTTATTTTTTTTTATAAAAGAGTAACTTTGGGATATAATAAACATAAAATCATATTTATATGTTATAATTATAGTTTTTATAATTACGCTTCAGAGTGCGGGTAAATTTGGGCTCAAGAGGGGAATACCCAGTTAATATTTATATGTTATAATTATAGTTTTTATAGTTACGCTTCAGAACAAACATAAATATGTATATTTCGTTATATATATATGGCAAACTGAATTTATGAAATAACATTATATGGGTATAGTTTACATAATTACATTTTATGAGTATAATATGATTTGTTAGTTAGCTTTTTATTTTGTGTAAAATCTCTTTTTTTAAAATTTGTACTATGTTTTACTTTTCCATTAAATAGTAATAATAACCCTAAATATGGTAACAAACATTTACATAATTCAATAATTTAAGCTAAACATTCAAAATCATTGCGACTACAAATTCATACAAACTTGTTTCTAGGAAACTAAATTTTTTAATGTATATAAAGTTTATATACGAATGTAAATAAATTGAATGTAAATAAATTGAATGTAAATTGTTTAATTTGCACTAAATTGTAAAATAATTATTATATACATATACATACAAATTCCTCAAGTAGTTTTGTATATAATAATGTAAAATACAAAAAAATTGTGATTTAAAATAAATTATTATACGAATAAGTGTACCAGATTTTTTAAAGTAATTACTTATATGGATATACATCTAGTTGAATAAAAAAAATTGTATATGTATAAACAAAGTTTATATACGGATGTAAATAAAATGAACATAGAAATATACAAAAAATTGTATATGAATATAGTACTTGTATATACACAAATCCCTCAAGCAGTTTTGTCTATAATCACATAAAACATAAAAAAAAAATTGTGATTAAAATAAATTATTATACAAATAATTGTATTATTTTTTAAAAGCAAATTACTAATATACATATATAACTAGTTCAATATACAAAAAACTTAAAATGCAAATATAACAATACAAAATACCTTGATCAGTTTTGTATATAATAATTCATTGTACAAACAACTATATACATAACATTCAAATAGGTAATTCTTACAGATTGAGATGAATCTTTCATTCTGATTTTGAACAACTTGTAATATGATGAGAAAGAAAGATTTTAAAAAAATATGAAAAACTAAGAACCATGATACATATACAATTGTTGATGAAGGAAAAATAAATTAAAAATAGATTCATGGGTTACATGCGAAAAATGAGAGCAAGACAGAAGGGAAGTACATGAAATCTTATGAAATTTGAAATTTAAAATAGAGTAGATGAGTGATTTTATGAGAAAGAGATATAATGGGGATAAGAGAGATAAAATTGATTTTATATAAAATTATATAAAAATCATAAATAAGTTTTTTACAGTTGGTATACAATAGGTGGTGGGTACCATTAATTATGACAAAAAAATGAAACTATTATTATTAAGAGTAAATAAATTAAACTATACCCTTATTAATTAATTATTTATTATAGTTTGTCATCCCATGTAATTTTCCCTTGTATCATTCTGCTATATATATATATATATATATAAAAGTTATATAATTTCGCTATATACATACGAAAGAAATCAGTTGTATAATCTGTTTTAGTATACATATACAAATGATCAATTGTATAATATATGTTTGTATAAAGCGAGAAAGAGGGGAAGATAAAAAAAAATTGGGTAGGAAAAAATCGTATTTGTATAATCATAAGTGTATATAACGAAATATATGCATTTATATTTGTATATACATTTTTCCCTCGCTTTATACAAACACAAACACAATGTATACATTTGTGTTTGTATAAAATGAGAGAGGCGAGTGAGCGAGCGAGATCTGGGAGAGTGGCGAGCGAGATCTAGGAGAGGGGAGAAAAGAGAAAGAAAGTATATGTATATATGCGATTTTCTCTCGTTTTATACAAACACAAATATATTTTATACATTTGCATTTTTGTATAAAGTGAGAGAGACGAATGAGCGAGCGAGATCTGGGAAAGTGGAGAGCGAGATCTGGGAGAGGGAAAAAAGGAAACGAAAATATATGTATATAACTAAAAAAATCATTTTATACAAACAAAAACGAGTTGTATACATTTGCGTTTGTACAAAGAGAGAGTGGTGAGGGAGATTTAACCGGAGAGAAGCGGAATAACAAAAATTTGCTATGGACTATAATTAAATTAAACTATAGTTATAACATTTAAATTGAATTAATAGTTTGTTATTATATAGAATTTTACTAAAAGAGATAATGATGATAATTAACAACGATAATATATATAAAAAATAATATTTTTTAAAATTTTCCTAAATTTGAAACTAAATAAAAAAAAAATCAAACAAAATAGCTAATTTTCCCTTTTTATCTCTTCGTATTCTGGTTTGGCTCTCCTCTATTACTCTTTCCCTCCATTTTATCATGTACAAATCTAAATAAGAGATATGTGTACTATTTAATTATTAAAGGTCAGAATTATATTGCATTAACTACTAAATAACCATAGTTAAGTGAATAAGTTTTGAAAAAAAATTCTCTCTAAATTTAGTAAAAATAATTAATTCTTGTCAATTTTTGGTATCCATATATTTATATCATTAATTTTACGTTATATATATATATATATATATATATATATATATATATATAATAATT